TTATATGATTACATAAATTAACAAGTAAGGTCTTTAAAAAAAAATTAATATGGGACTTTCAAAAAAAAGAAAAAGAAAAAGAAAATCAATAACTTATATTAATAAAATTTCTTTAAAATAAATTAAAATAATAAAAAAACACAAAAAAATATTAAAATAGAGATAGTGATGCCAATAGGAATCGATATAGGTACAATGAGTATCCCCTTTAAAAATATAAATTCCAATTTATATATTTGTAATAAAAAAATTATAGTTCTATATTTGGCAATATTAATCCTAAAGGGATTTTTTGGATTTATTATGCAATAATAATAATAATAATAATAATAATAATAATAATAATAATAATAATAATTGTATTCTTTAAAAATTAATAGTTGCAAGGAAAAAAAACTTAAATGTTTTATAATACAATATAAATACAAAATGATTGTTTGTTTACCTCTTAACAGTTCAACTAAAAGACAGCTTCTGAATCGTTAAGAGGTGAATCTTGTTTGACAAAAAAAAAAGTTTGTCTCTTAATGGTTCCAAACCTTTTGAATGATTTTTCTATCATGAGCCTCCGTTAATCATTCAGCACCATAATTTCATTGTAAATAATTACCAAACAACTATATTTTTGCACCATATCATGAGAGTCTCTTAATTATTATAACCACTTAATCATTTTGCACCAAACCATTCATCAATTACCAAACAACCCCTAAGTAAAAAAAAGAAATACTTGTATATTATTTATTTTAGAAAATGGATCTTTTTTTCTTATAAATCGACGACATCTTAACAACTGAATTGCAGAAAACGAAAATTTGTCGAGTTTTCTGTTTATTATGTGAGGATCATAATATCACTTTCATAGAGTAATTGTATATATACTTTTTGAAGTATATAATATTTATGTACGGTAAAATAGAACAAATAAACGTAAACACACACTTCTTACCTTTGGTAAGGTTTGAACCTTTGACCTGCTAGTAGGTCAAAGACTCACGTACCGTTAGATCAAATACCCATTAGATAAATATATGTTTATTTTTGTGTTGAACACTTCAACAATGTAATATCTTTATATATTCCATTAAAAGGAGTTTATCTTGATAATACATAAAACCATTCTTTGTAAAACCCTAATTTTCAAGATATGGGGTATAGATGGTGAGGCAAACGAGGCTTCACCAGGGCCAACAATGGCTTCGCCTTCATTATGTCTTGATGGTTCTCTTTGAGATCAACATATGGTTCATTAGGTGGCAACTCCCACGTGAACCCTTGGACCATCCTAGCCAGCAACATTACAGTCATGGTCGAGCCCAGTAACACCCCAGCGCACCCACGTCGACCAGTGCTAAACGATATCATCTGAAGACTGTAGTCGGTCAACACCACCTCGTCATCGCCGACCATGTGACGATCTGGGTTGAAAGTCAGTGGGTCATCCCACACGTCAGGGTTCCGACCTAGTCCGATCCGACTCAGTAGCACATTACTACCCTTTGGTATGAAGTATCCAGCGACTGTGGTGTCCACAGATGCGACATGAGGAAGGTTGAATGGTGCAACCGGATGCAGTCTGTAAGCCTCCTTAGCACATGCTTTGATGTAATTCAGGTTCGGTATATCGGATTCTTGAACCCATCTGTTTCTTCCAACCATGGAATCGAGCTCGTGGATCGCTCGATCGAAAATCCTTGGCTGGTTTATCATTTCGGCGATCGCCCACTCGATGCCGTTTGATGGATTATCAACTGCTGCAAGTATCATTTCCTGCATTGTAACACATCAAAAGTTATGTAATGCACATGACATGGAAGAAAGAGTGTTAAAAAAACACCAAAACTTGTGCTAATCTTACGAGGATTTGCGCCTTGATTTGATCGCGGGTTAAGATCGGGGTTTTAAGGTTGATGAATACGTCAAGCAAATCGTCTTCATTGGTCCGGATACCGTCTTTCCATTGTTGAATCCTTTCATCTATCAAATGATCTTGAAGTTTTCTTACGGTACAAACGGCTTTCCGTACGATTCTTTCGTGCCCATCGAAATCGGTGATCCATCGTAACAACGGGAAATAATCCGTCACACAAAATGCGTAAAGATAAGAAAGAATGACCAAAAGTGAGTCGACATGTTCGATCTCTTCTTGCCCAGGTCCGCCATCTGGACTCCCTTTGCCGAAATACCTACTTCCGAATATGATCTTCCGGATGGTGTTGCTCGAGTATTGTTGCACGATAGTCCGTACGTTCATAACCCCTCTAGTGACATTCGAATTGATCTCACACTGATTGTAAATGTACCTACGATACATACACATTCAAACATCAAAACGAATCGATATTTGGACGTAGATAAGAAGACGACACGACACTTCAACAAAATCAACTTTAATGGACTCCAAAAATGTCTAGATGTCCTAATCGGCTGTTTCATAAGACCTAAACATCCGCCGAAAAGTTAATCACCGGCGCCACTTTTTCCGGCGGATAGAACTCGCCGGAAATGAGGACCTGTTTCATGGACGGACCAACTATAGGGCAAACGGTGGCACGTGCCGCCGTATTATTCCTCTGCCGAAAAGTAAAAAAATTAGGTTCGTGAAAAATGAAACCATATTAATTTGCTTTATGCAAACGTATATATTTTGAAACTACAATGAGAACGAGTTTTATTTGATAGAGTTGGTTTGCAAGACTTTTATTCCACCTCATACCCAAGTTCGAATCTTGTTAGTGTCATTTTCTTAGTCAAATGGTGTAATTGTTTAAAAAATATTTCCGTATATTTGTTTCTTATAATCAAACGGTACCATCGTTTGAAAACTTTTCCCTATATTTTTTTTTCTTATAGTCAAATGTTGTCACCGTTTGAAAAAAAAAATATGGGTCCATCGACCTCTTAAGTGTTTAAACAATTGTGCATCACATGTAAAATGTGTTACATCATGATGTTGAGATGTATTTAGCATCCTAACAAACTTTTTATTATGTTTTTTTATTTAAATATTTTAGTGTTAAAAATACGCTTTATTTGATACATTTAAAATAGTTGCTATTTCGTATCATTTTATTGTATTTACACATATTTAACGTCAATCCATACCAAAAATGTCAACTTCTTTTCGTTCTTCGAGAACGAAAATCTCAAAGGATAAAGACAAAAAAAATGCCGTTCGTCAGCCCGTTTTGTCGAAAACGACCATGTAACGATGCTACAACGTTTGAATATCGAGAAGGATAATAGCTGCGACAAAACGGGCTGACGAACGGCATTTTTTTGGTTAAGAAATTATATTAGAAATCACTGTATTGGTTAAGAAATTGCTGTGGTGGATGGTTATGCGTATTAATACGTGCACTTACCTAAGCAAATTATCAGCTTCTTCATCTCGCTTACTTTTTAGCCACTTATGCCTTGACAACGAAAGAAATTCAGTGGCCAGCATTTTCCTCATCTTCTTCCAATGTTGATCACTTGCTGGAACAAGAACGGTTGTCAAGTAGCCACCACTTGCCATATAACCCGACATGCAATCTGGCCTTAACGAGAATATCTCGTCTTTTTCCTTCAAGAATTCACGAGCAATCTTTGGGTCGCTCACGGCTATAACATGAGTGTTTCCGAGGCGAATGCATAAGATCTTGGTACCCATTTCGTCCATCATCCTGTGTATCCATCTGAACGTCGGTTTGTTTTGAAGCATCGTGATTATGCTGCCAATTAACGGCAGAGGTTTAGGACCGGGTGGAAGTGGTGGTCGGGTTTGAGAACGGGTGTATCTTGTGAACAAGAAGATGAATGATGAGACGACAAAGAGAACGAAAATAATCATGGTGAGAAACAAAAACCGGTTTTCGATCAAATGTCAAAGTTCTGTTTGTTTTTATCTGTATTTTTATCAGAATGTCTAAAACCGTTAACATTTCCAGTATTTATAGTGGCTTCTCTTGAGTTCTTTATTTAAAATATTTGATAATTTTTATTATTTAATTAATTTTTTAGGATAAAATTTTAATGAATGTTGGTCAAACTTAAAAAGGAAAAGAAATATGAAAAGTTAGAGTTCCATTTTTGCATTAATTCATGTAAATTAATATATTTATTTTTTATTTTAATTATTATTTAATTCATTTTGTCCACTCTTTTGTCTCATATAGAGTGAATTATCATTTTAGTCCTTTTTGTTTGTTGTTTGTTGCAATTTCATCCATGGTTTTTAAAAACTGTTTATTCGTCACCATGGTTTTCATTTTATTTATGTTTTCGTCTCATATGCCAACGACGTTAAAGAAACCGTTAGATCTAAAGTTATTTGGTTTTTTTTAATTCTTTTTATATTTTTCTATTTTAATTAAATAATATATTTAAAAAGTAAAATAAAAAACAAAACCTTACTTATGGGCCGTTTACCAAACGCTTACTCAGATAAGCGTTTAACCAGTAACATTACCTTATTGAATGAATATGGTAAGTACCAATAATATTGTCTAGTAAGAGCAAAGGTAAGTACCGAGAGTCTTACCCGGTAAGTGAGAGTGATGACTCTTATCACAGTTAGCACTTACTGGGTAAATTGTTGCATTTGATATCATTTTGTTGGATTAAAAACTTACCTGTTAAATAAGTAATAATGTTGAATTTTGCCGGTAAACACTTACCCAGATAAGCGTTCGGTAAACGACCCCTTATTCCATATGACTTTGCCCCCACCGTACCTTCTTTACCAGCCTCCTTAAACTGGTGAATCAGATTAGTGTCCATATCCAAAACTCAATCATGTTATCGTTGTCTTTACAAGACCAACCAAATTGAGCCTATATATTTTGTTTCCGAATGGCCACCTTCTTCCTTCACCCTCCTTCTTTTATGCAAATCCTTTCTTGGATGATATAAAAAAGGTTAAAAGACCAAACTATCCTTGATTTAACAAACTACTTTAACGTCGTTAGCTTCAAGGATGAAAAGAGAAACAAAATCGAAACTATAAAGACAAAAATATGCAATTTTAAAAACCAAGGACTAAATTGACAATAAACAATAAACTACAAGGACTAAAATCATAATTTACTCTTTTAAGCATAATACATTGGAATTTGTAGCTACTTTTTGGCAAAAGTATTATAAAAATATGTACATAGGTGATAGTGATACTATATGAGTTTGAATGGTTGGATTAGTATTTATCTTAATAAAAAACGGAGGGGTTATTTGACGATTGTTAAATGGTTTAGTGTAAAATGATTAAGTGGTCAGAATGATTAAGAGACTCTCATGATATAATGCAAAATAAAATATAATTGTTTGGTAATTGTGTATAATAAAATTAGGGCTTTTAATGGTTAAAGAAGATCTAAGATACAAAATCATTCAGAGAGTTTTAGAACCATTAAGAAGCAGACTTTTTTTTTTTGCCAAACAAGATTCACCTCTTAACGATTCAGATGCTGCCTCTTAATGGAACTATTAAAAGGTAAACAAACAACCCCTTAATTAATGGAAAATTACATTAAATATAATCTACTTTTAAATTGATTTTTATTTTAGGTAACGTACTTTTAAAACTTTTATTTTGATACCTAACATGTAAACTTGTAAATATGTAAGTACCCGGATAATCTCAACTGGTTATCATGCTAATGTCGCGAATAATGTGGTATCCAACTCAATATTATTTGTTGACTGGTTAGTGACATGAATTTTTTTAATTTAAAATTAGTCTTCAATCAATTATTCAGGTACTTAAATGTTTAAAACTTTATATTTTATGTATTAAAATGAAAGTTTTGAAAATACGTTATCCAAAATAAAAATTAAGTTAAAATAAATTACTTTTTAATACAATTCCTTTGTCAATTATCTATTTAGATTCAATTAAAAGAGTATTCTCACAATATAAAAAAATATATCTTCATTTTAATGTTTCGCTTTGTATTTATTAAATTAATATATATATATATATATATATATATATATAATTTCTTTTGATATTAAAATATATATATTAACATATCTACATTGATGAAAGGAAATCAATTGGAATGGTTGGATTTGCATTCACCTAACCATAAAAGGCAGAATGGTTCATATATTTATAGATTATTCGTTGTGTATTTTATTTTGAGAAATTATAAAATTGTAATAATTTTAATAACTTATGTATCATGTGTTATTTCATATATTTTTATTAAAGATTAGATTTAGAATATCGACTAATAAATAAATATATATATACACTTGTTTCCCAATGAGAATCTTTTTAGTCTTTTTATGAAACAAAAGTTACACATAAACTTTTTTTCACAATACATACGAAGCAAACACGTTGTGTAACAAATACATGTTCATCAATACATTAGATGCTAACTTTAGATGAGAAAAAATCACGTGAAACAATATGTTAAGATAAAAGTTCTCATGGTTATCGTAATATATGAGGTTTTCAAATGATTAAGCCTCATCCACTTATATATATATATATATATATATATATATATATATATATATATGTATAGAGTTTGGTTCAAATCTTAACCCAATATTTTGTTCAAACTATACTAACCGATCCTGATCATTCATTTTTTMATCTAACGGTTATTATTAAATAAGATTAAATAAATAATAAATTAATTAATGTTTTAAATGATATGGGTATGAACCAATGTTCAAAGGGTAAAGTGGTCAAAAATTGCACATTTCACCGCCATCTTGTACACCCGATTCTGTAACCTCCATCCATATACGAAACCGCCGATCAACAGGGTAAATCAAGTGCGTAAAATCAGGTTCACAATATTCATCCACAATATGGATGATTTGGGCGAAATGCAAGCAGCTGGAATTAGAAGGAGAGGTAAGTTTATAAGAACTAGGGCTTCGATTTTTAGTTATCATAACTGAAATCTGCACTCATTTGAGTTAAATCTTACCTACAGTACGCAAACCGAGTGAACGTATAATGATGAAATACGCGTTTTCGAATTTCAAGAACACAGTCGATAATCCTGTCGATGTTGATGAGGAACCCATGAACAGAGAATCGTCTGGTCGACTAGTTAGGAAGCAAGTAGTGAAGCAGGTCACAAATCCCTCAACATTAGTTGTTGAACCACGGAAAGGTAAATAAATATAATGTTGAATGTGAGAAGTTATTATTCAATGTCGGGTATATGAAAATCACTACATTTGCTATTGACAGATTGCTCACCTTATAATATATCACATTTTGTGGTAAAAATTGTTTTAAGTGTTTGGTGAAAAACTCATGTTAATGCAGAAATGCTGGTCCTTTTTTAGTGTCCGAAATATGTGTGTTAACATTGAGGGTTCATATACATTAACAACCATGAGTGAAACTAATGTTTGTATCTTCTAGTGTTCATATTCATTAGTTTTACATTGTGTGAAATTAACATCATGTTAATCAGTTTGATGCGGAATAAAGTAAAACCAATTTCAACATATCGGAACTGATTGCCTATGTTAGTTACTTACTAGAGATTGATGCAATAGGAAAGTATTGATTACTTATTTCATATAATTACCCTGTTCTTGTAACTCCCAGAAACTGAAAACAGGTGTTTTAATTGATAGCAAGTAGGCTTACACCGACTGTTCATATTCAACTTTCATACAATTCAAAGGTTGACAATTATCATAACAATATGATTTGTTGAATGTTTGATAAAAAAAAAACTATTAACACGTCTCACGTTTAGATGTTAACTCCCTTGAACCGTTTGTGCAATATTTATTTTCCTGTCAAAAACGTGTCATACACTTCAACAACACATAAAGTATCAATGAGGTATATTCAATATTCTGATCACACGAAAACTATATATGCCATTAACCAATTACAACTTGGTCGTTTAAGTGTCACACAATCGATACTTCATAACATATAAAAGTGTGTTTCAATGTTTATTTTTTTTTTTGCTTGAATTATTTATGAATCTGTTCAGTAGAAAAAAAAATCATGTGGCACTATATCTGTTTACTGCTTGATCGCTTTTTGCCTTGATTCTGCAGTATCATATATCCAGTTCACATTTTTGTGTATTAGTTAATGAACAAACATACACACTAATTTACGTGTTCAATAAAAACAGTGATTAAAAAAAACACGGTTCACACGGTTCATACAGTTGGGGTTTTAATTCTGTCCATTCTTATTGAACATCTTAAATTAACATATGTATGAACAAATCATATGAACAACCCAACTGCAATTGTTCATTGAACAAACATACCATACATTGACAACTGTTTTGTTCCTTTTGTTCGTACACATATAAGGTTGCTCAACTTTCAGTCGGCATTAGACATATACAACATTTCTATATCTACATATGTATTGCAGTCTATTCAGATCACATACAAGCAGTCATTAGATTATATCTTTCAAGTCTTCTCTTTCTGCAATTTTTAAGAACTCAAATCTGATTCCAGTAATTTTGATTCAAGTTAATCTACTGTGTTCCTGTCTACCCAAATCAGATTCCAGTTTCTATCTTTAAAGTCTTATGTTTCTACAATTTTAAGAACTCAAATCCGATTACAGTGTGCATCTGTTCAGACCGTGCAAACTGTGTGCATTTGTTTACTGTTATGTTTTATAATATTACTGTTATAATATTACTGTTATGTATAAACAGAATCTGTGCAATCTGTGTGCATTTGTTCATAATATTCATACTGTGTGCATCTGTTCATCCATCTGTGCATCTGTGTGCATCTGTTCATGCATCCAGGAACAAATGCATATGTTCATTCTATCTTTAAAGTCTTCTGTTTCTGCAATTTTGAGAAAGCAAATCCGATTACAGTGTGCAT